GCTGCTGCTCCTGGCCCAGGGAGAAATCACCTGGAAAAAAACCACAAAACCTTTCTTACTGAAGAACACGTTGCCTGAAGAAAAAGTAAATTGAGCAAACTTCCTTAAGCCTTTGGAAGGATGGTTTTAAACCTTCTCTTTCCTTTCCTGGTGCCTTTTGGACAACGTTGGGTTCCATGTGAGGGAACATCTCGGCCTCCTCCAGTAAATCAGGGCAGAGCAGCCTTGGTGGCAGCTCCAGAATGATCCATGGCTGCTCCTTCTCCTCGTGTCAGCAGCTTGGGATGTGCCTCGTTTCCAAAGGAAACCAAGCTCTGTAATTTCTGAGAGGAAATCTCCTGGCCTAGGGGAAGGTTGGGGTTGGAATGGGATGGTCTCTAAGGTCCCTTCCATCCCAAACCATTCCATGTTCCTGTGGTATTAACTTCCAAGAGTGTCCTTAAGGAGAGTGGCTCTGGAAAACATCTAGAGGTGTATGGGGAACAAAGTCAGTGACTCCTGACTCCAGTGACCAGGGAAAATGGGTTATTTTGGGTTTTGGGGTGTGTGAATGGGAAGCACTGGACAGGACATTGTGGTGTTGCTGATGAGTGGAATCTTCTCCACTTCGCTGCTTTCCCATCTGTGCTCTGGGATGAGGACAACGTGAAACCAGAAGAGAAATGGTGCAGGAGCCATCAGAAGGAGAACAAGGGAATTTGTGGAATCTGAGGTTTCTGGAAGGAGATTGAGAAGGGGAATCTCTGTGGGGTGCAGGTGACACCTGACACAAGGAGAGTGATAGGGTTGTGTAGAGCAGAGTGGCACTGATGGGGGAGCTCTGGATAATCAATCAATCAATCAGTCACCATGGTGGATTGTCCATCTGTCAGCACCTCCAGGCTGCAGGCCTCTCCAGAAGGATGTAAAATACAGGTGCAAGCCTGAAATCAGAGTTATTGATGTTCACAGGAGGCTTCTGGGGCTGCAGTTTCTTATTCAGGAGTTGAATCTGGGTGTAAATTATCTTTCTGTGCCTTAAAATCTGCCCAGGTCAGGCTTCACGGATTCCAAGATGTGGGGCAGAAAACCTCATTTTCTTCACCAGACTTCTTCCATGTAAAAATATTTTGTTTTATTGAGTCACATGCTTTCTTCTCTTTAGAAATCATTTAAAATTACATATTGCAAGCTAATTTCACTGAAACTGAAGTGATATTTGGATGGTGGCCATGATTTTACTCCATCACTAATACTGAGCTTTTTTTGTGTTGTCAAACCATCCCTGTTGCATTCCCTACCAACATTTATGGCAATGAGCTGCACTCACCTAAACAAATGGACACATTTGTAGCACTCCAGTTATTTTAATGAACCACTGATGGCTTTTATGGAATATTAAAAATCTTCATGCAGGTCCCTTTCGTTCTCCCAGACAGAACGGTGTTGGTGCAGTTGGATTTTTAGTGGCAATCTGGTTCAATTCCAGCTCACTTCCAGCAGCAATATATAATATGTGGTCCTGGTGTCATCTAACAGCTGATGTGGTTGGGAAGTTAATGAAAAATTACCCTATTTGATAGGGAAAGAGTGATTTAACCTTTAAAACATCGAGTGAAATCAAGGCATGGACAGTGGTTTTGCATTTTAGGCAAGAAAAAGCAAACACTTTGTACCCATGGTATGTTTTTCCAGTTTTAATCATGTTTTTTTTTTTTTTTTTCACTTTATCCTGGTTTTTTTAAAGTATTTTTACAGTTATTTTTGTTTTTCATCTTTAAGGAACCAAGTGCTACTCACAGGAATAGTGTTTTCCTCCTAGTTCTAAACCAAAGAATGCAACTGTTGCTGTGTGGAAATTATAAGGACTCAGCAAAGAGCAAGGGATATAAAATCACTGCAGTATTTATTGGCTAAAAAGTATTTTGAAGCAGGAGATGGGAGAAGTGCAGCTAGAAAATCAGTGTATGAAGTGCAGGGGACTGCCAGTGAATCCAGCAAAGCCACATTGAAAATAAAAACCCATTTTCCTCATTAGAACCTCCAAGATCTTCCACATGAGGGTGAAAATAGCTCTGTCACATTGAACTAAAAGCTCTAAAGAATTAGGTTTTTTTTTTCTCTTGGTTTCTATCTAACCTGAGCCTGAGTGATTCTAAAGGCAATACAATTATGATACATTTTACACACTTGCAAAAACATTTTATTACAAAGTACATCGGAGGGTACCAGAGAACACGAGATGTCAGTTGGAAGCAAGACTCTATGGTAATGTCAGCTTTCCCCAGGTTTAAAAAAATGTAAAAAATTAAAAATTTGCAACTTCTTAAGAAAATAGCCTGGACATGTACAGAACACGCCGTGAGAACTTTCCCTTTGAGCTCTTTGTTTCTCCAGTTGGAGTTTCCTCCCTCTTTTCCCCTGATTCCAGGAGCTCTGGATCACTCGGGGTCCCTGCACACACAAAGCTACTGAGGGGTGGCACTGAGGATTTGGGAGTTGATTGATTGCCATGGAGAGATGCTTGGTTTAATTTCTTTTAAAAACCCCAAACACTAGGCCTGTTAGCATGGAGGAGTGCATTAGTTATTAATCTTTTTTTTTTATAATGAATACTGCTGTATTTTCCTTTCTGACCTTTTTTTTTGATTCCTTTCCGCTTAAAAAAAAAAAAAAAAGTATTTTTAGTTTGAAAATATTTGGGTTTTTATGCCATGATGTGTGGGCTGCCTTGTAAGCAGTTCTATATTTTAGTTAAAAACAATATAAAATACACAAAATATGGGGGTTTTTTCCACATGAAACAATGGCACTTCCTTCCTGGTGTACAGGATCACCTTCCTAATCCTTCAACTCCTACCAGAGGATTTCAGGATTTGCTTCTGTGCAAGAGCTCGTAGCCCTCTTGAAGGTTTACTGCAAATATTGAGCTGGCCATAGGCATCTTCTGCATTTCCATTCACATTTTAATTTGCTTTTCTTGCTCTTTGAGGGGAAAAAAATAGGTTATTTTCCTCCAGTTTTCTCTCGGGAGTAAATTGGATGCTGAGCTAAGAGGAGAAACAGTGAAAAAGAAAAACACTTCCCCAAATTTTTAATCTGTGAAATTAATGATCACTGTCCTTGCACCTAAAGGCTGAAGAATTTGTACCTTCCTACTGCTACAGGGGATGCAATTTCAAACCCAGTTTGTCACATGACACTCAAATTATCTGAAATCCTTAGGGAAAAATCCCAAACCAAAACAAATGACAAGATTCCCACTTCCTGGCCACTTCTAGCATGAGGAATTTTTCCACCGATGGTCATTTTAGATGCAAGTTTAATGGCAGTAGCAAATACTTAAAGAAAAGTTGCAGTTTATAAGTCAGAGCAAAATTTTAAGTGCCATTGCAAAAAAAAACCAAACCAAATTAGGAAAAATCTGATTCACATCTCTCCCCAAAGTGTTTCAATTACTGAGTACAATTAATAGATCAAGATATAAATTATAGTAAGGTGGGAAACCCATCTGAGCAGCTTAATAAATAAATAGCATTTCCAATTTCAGCTCCTTCCAAGCAGTGCTGCAGCCTGGACATCTCCTGGTGCCTTCTGCAGCAGTGGAGAGGTTTTCCAAAGACTGTTAGAAAAAAATACTAACCCATGGCAAAGGCCAACAATCCTGATTGGGATGGGTCTCTTTTGGGGTTGGGTTTTGTTCCTTTGGGTGAGACCTTTCCAAGGTGACAAGGAGGGGTTGTCCCGTGGCCTGGACCCTGTGAGCTGGAGGTGCTTAAAGGCTGGGCCTGATTTTTGGGAGGTTTCTGGCCACTGCCCCGCTGGGGCTGAGCAGCAGAATGGTTCTTCTGGTGGTGAGGACACAGCTAAACCAGAGATGAGGTTGAAATGTGAGAGCTTGGTTGGAGTCTACATCGCATGAAGGCAGAGAATACACCACAGTCACATCTCGGAGATCGGCGCGGCCGCGGGCCGCGGGAAAAATTGTGCTTTGTCCAGGAATTCTGTGCTGAAAACTGCACTCCCCGATCAACATGGAGCTGTAAAACTCAACACCACTGCAAACATAAGGCTTGCTTGTTGTTTTTCCCCCTTGTTGCTGTCCAAAGACAACAACCCAGACCCCCAAAAGGCTTCCACCATTCCTGGGGGAGCAGGATGCCGGCCTACACTTTAACAGGTCGGAGTGCCACGCTTTTGGATCTGAGGAGGGGAGGGAAACAGTTTTACTTCCCATCTTTGTCCAAATTCCCATTCAGGTTTTACATCCCACATTGGCAAGCTGCAAGTGGAAGTGGGCAGGGGGTTCCCAAGCCCGTGCTCCTGGGCGTGAGTCCGTCGCTACAAAGGCCTTTTTGGTACACGCGGTGAGAACTGGACGCTGCCCTTGGCCAGGACGCTGCTCCTTCCACAAAGATCCCGTCAGAGACGATGGAAACAACTCCAGATATTTGTCAAAGAAGGCCTTGAACTCCACACGTCATGGACTTGGGTTAAAGGAACCAGAGTTTCCATCTTCCATGCTTTTTTGATTCAGTTTTGGATTTTTGCTTGGGAGTAGAGGAGTAGCTCTCCTGAGAATAAGGCAAAGGTGCAACCTGAGTTTCCTCAATAGGATGAAGTTTTCTCAAAACTGGCTGGAGTTTATCTTCTTGCTGTTTAAAATCCAATTCCACGCTAGAAATGAGAAGAGAAAAGCACTCATTAATTATGGTGATAAAAAAAATTAATCCAATGTCTAAGTGCTTAATTTATGGAAGTCAATAAATACTTCTTGCATGAAAATGGAAAGGGGCAGTTCAAAAAAGGACGTATTACAGAAGAAAAATAGGAATGGGATTGTTCACCGCTTCCCTGCTGTTAAGGAGCATCTTGGGCATTATGTTGGAGGTGCTGGGAAGTGACTCAACACTAGAAATACAACTTTTTTTTGTGGAGAAATTATTTTTGAAGGCTTCCAGCTTAACTCTCCCTTCTGGGAGGTCAGGGTGGCAGCCAGGCACCTCAAAGAAGGCCTTGAACTCCACACGTCATGGACTTGGGTTAAAGGAACCAGAGTTTCCATCTTCCATGCTTTTTTGATTCAGTTTTGGATTTTTGCTTGGGAGTAGAGGAGTAGCTCTCCTGAGAATAAGGCAAAGGTGCAACCTGAGTTTCCTCAATAGGATGAAGTTTTCTCAAAACTGGCTGGAGTTTATCTTCTTGCTGTTTAAAATCCAATTCCACGCTAGAAATGGGAAGAGAAAAGCACTCATTAATTATGATAAAAAAAATTAATTAACCCAATGTCTAAGTGCTTAATTTATGGAAGTCAATAAATACTTCTTGCATGAAAATGGAAAGGGGCAGTTCAAAAAAGGACGTATTACAGAAGAAAAATAGGAATGGGATTGTTCACCGCTTCCCTGCTGTTAAGGAGCATCTTGGGCATTATGTTGGAGGTGCTGGGAAGTGACTCAACACTAGAAATACAACTTTTTTTTGTGGAGAAATTATTTTTGAAGGCTTCCAGCTTAACTCTCCCTTCTGGGAGGTCAGGGTGGCAGCCAGGCACCTGCATCCTTGTCTTTGGGGAAAGATGAGAAGTTGGCCAAAAGCAAGGAGGCCGTCTCAGAAATACTTTACCTCAGCTGTTCCTTGCCACTTTTACCATGAAAAGATTAATTTCATCAAGTTCCCGTTGTATTTATAGACTCATATACATGTGTGGAATAAACAGATCAATTAAAAAGCAGTTCTCCTTTATAGTGCATCCTTGCCTTCAGAAAACAGACTGAAGCTGTAAATCCCTGTCCTGAATTCCAGACACGGTCGGCTACAAAATCCTTCCAGCAATTAAGAGCCACAGTTGAGATGAAATTCCAACCCTTATTTGAGCTTTGTGCTGCAGAGTGTTTTGAGACCACCTTATAAACCAAAGGAATAACAGCATAAAATGGAGCAAAAATCTTGTCTGATGGTGGGAACTGAATTTTGGCCCCTCAGAACTACCCAGAACTTGGTGGTTTTGGTTGGGTTTGTGCAGAAGCCTCTGGCCATATTCTGTGCTGAGGCTGTTCCTGTGTTGAATATTCTTGTGTAGAATATTTGGGGCTGGAAAGGACCTCTGAAGGATTCCTGTTGAAGTGGGGCCTCTGGATATCAGAGGATGAGTTTTAAAGGGTGAAATTGTGGGAATTTGGATGCTTGGATTAATTTATTTCTTCCCTCTCCCCCTCCACTGCTGAGTTGTCTTGGGCTTTGCACTGGCTGCTTTTATCATTACCTAAATATGAAGTTATCACTCCTGAGCTTGAGTTCACTTTTAATTAGGATTAAATATGCTTCCTGAGGTATTTCTGCCATTGCTTGTTTGGAGTGAACTGCTGGAGAAGTGAGATCTGATTCCCCAGGTCTCATCCATAAAGAGATTACTTTAAACTTCAGTTTAAGCCCTGTCTGATTTAAGGAGAGCAGGGATATGGCACAGAACACCTGCAGCCATTTCCAGGGAATTCTCCAACGGAATCATTAAGGTTGGAAAAACCTCCAAGATTTCCAGGGGGAAGTTTAGGTGGACTTCACCTTACACAGGCTTTGTAAACCAAGCACAGAATGTCATCAAATACCACCTGCTGATTTAGGTGGGGTTTATTTTCCTCTTGGGAATCAAAGATGCTGAGAGAAGGATAAGGAGAATTTTGTACTTTGGTTTTGTTTTAAGAGCTGGTAACTTTGACTGCAGGGACTCTGGTGGAGCCTCAGAAAGGGGTGCTGGAAAGGTGTGAGGTCTTTTACATCTGGCTGTGCCTGATCTGGTGTTTGGTTTGAGTGCAAATCCATTTTTAGCAAAAGTTTTGGCATTTCAGTGATTTGGAGAAACTTCAATAGCACAGAAGAGAAATACAATAGGTAAGAATTCAAATAGAGTATTTTACCCATTGCTGTGTTTTTAATGAATAAAAAACCATTCCAAATCAAAGATAATTACAAAAAAATTCAGCTCAATGCTGGAAGTATAGAATTAACTTTTAGGAGGCAGCTGTATTGGTGCAGAAGCACATTCTAAGCTTACTGATTAATATCCCTCCTTGTTATTGGAAAAACAATGTTGTCTTCACTGCTCACATGTTCTGTGTGCTGTGTGGCTGGCAGAAAAATAGTTGGTTAGAGAAGTTCAGCATGAATTTAATGGTGAGATGTGGATATCAGCTCATTGGGAATGTCCCAGCACGGGAATTCTGTCAGTGAGACAGAAAATCTTGGAATGAGGGAGGTGCTTCTCTAAGAGCTCACTAATCTCATTTAAAGTGCAGCATTTAACATGTGTTGTATCTGTTTTTTTTCCTCAGTATCAAGGTTTTTTTTGGGGAAAAAATAAAAGGGCCTTTCAGCTCTGGCATTGCCAGAGTTCATTTTTACTCCTTTCAAACATTATTCTTTCAGGGAGGCTCTTAAGAGCTGCTGAAATTTGCTGTAAAAAAAGAAATTATTATAAAACCCCGTTGCTGAGGAGAGTAATTTTTTATATAATCAATTTCTATTAAGATAGACCTCAAGAGGAAAAAAAAACATCTTAGTTCTGGTCCATCTGACAAGCCCCATGTTATTGCCTTTTGCTGCTGCAGCACAGATCAGCTTTCAGCTCTTCACATCCAAGGGAAATGTTTTGCTTCTGAGGGGTATAAAGAAGCTGAAGGAAAAACATTTGTGTTATTTCAGCATTTAGGTCTGTAAATTTTGAAGAATAATTGATTGATGTCGATCAGCATCAATTTATCCAGCATTGGAGGTGTTTTAATGGGATTGCTCCATCAGGCAAATGATTTGATTGCAAACTTAGGCTTTAATTTATCCCTGCTTGTCCTGCGTAAATAAGACAAAAATCTGATTTTTAAAAAAATTTTCACACATCTTTCTGTGTTATCTACAGCTGACTTTATTTTTACTCTTTAATTTTATATCAATCATATGAAATACTACTAATCATGATCAATGACAGGTTCCCAGAAGGGTTTGGGTTGGAAAGGACCTTCAGGATCATCCAATTCCAACCTTCCACCATTCCAGGTTGCTCCAAGCCCTGTCCAACCTTGCCTTGGCTACTTCCAGGGATTAAATTCAGCAAATATTCCATATTTGTAGGACTTCCTGATATATTTTTTTTTTATCAAGCTGCATTCCTGAACTTGATTGTGTCACCTGTCACAGCTCTGCCAATCCTGTTTTGCTCCGTGCTATTTCTGTCCCCTCAGCATCTCCAGGTGTCCTCTCTCCAAATGACCTTTTCCTGAAATATCCTCCTGCCATGTGCCTCTTTTCACTTTCAGACTTGCATTTTGTCCCTTAAGCCTGCCCATAATAACTCCATTAATTTAATTATCCAGGACTCTCCTGTTCTCCTGGCATGACACACGGAGATGGGAATTATTTGCTTCAGAAGCATTTTTTCTTTAATAATAGAATCGTATTTTTCAATAGGCTGACAGCTCTGAACAAGCCCTACAGAAACAAGAGATGCATTTTAAATATTATTTAATAGCACAAACCTTGGCCTGACACACCTGATCAGGACATCCTAAAGCTTCACTTCCCATGTTGTTAAATATTGTTAAATTTGGAGCACTGGGAAGCCGTTTTTCCATCTTTAATGCCTGTCCCAAATTCTTCCTCCAAATTGAGGGGCTGTTTTTATCAAAATCTACAAGCAGTAAAATTCTATTTGTGATAAATATTTGTGTTTTCTCCCCAGAATCACTACAGACTTACAAGGTTTGCAACCAAAACTTCCCATTTTGAGGCAGTTGTCTGTGCATCAGTGCTGTCTTTCCCAGGAAAACTGGGCCAAATAAAGTCAAATAGCAGCTCTTGGATGATTTTATTTTGGCACCACCCTCACAAGGAAGGTTTAGAAGGTTTGTGCCCATCTATCCCTGCCCTCTGGCAGTGGGAAGCCATTCCCTGTGTCCTGGCCCTCCATCCTTTGTCCCAAGTCTCCTTCCAGCTCTCCTGGAGCCCCTTTAGGGGACCTGAGGCATTGATGAGATGAATTTTCTGATTTTGGCTTTCTGTATTTGACAGGATATATTAATGAGTTTACTTTTGCATGCAGGCAGCAGAGAACCTTTTCTAATTTAGTTGCCGTATGAGGGATTGAGATCAGAATTTGAGGAGTGAGAACTACTGGGATTAAACATATGGACTGTGGGAGGGTTTGGAGCAACAAGCTCTGAGATATGGATGGGTTTTCTTACTTTCTAGCACAGTCACACGTTGTTGTCATGGATCATTTTCAGGTTTTAGCTGCTCATGATCTGTTGGTTACTGGAGAATTGCTGAATCAGAGAAATCTGGGTTCAGGATGGAGCTGCTGAGGGATTTCAGAGAATCATGGAATCCCAGAATGGTTTGGGTTGGAAGGGACCTTAAAGCTCATCCAGTTCCACCCCAGCCATGGCAGGGACACCTTCCCCTGTCCCAGGTGCTCCAAGCCCCAGTGTCCAGCCTGGCCTTGGGCACTGCCAGGGATCCAGGGGCAGCCCCAGCTGCTCTGGGCACCCTGTGCCAGGGCCTGCCCACCCTCACAGGGAACAATTCCATCCCAAAATCCCATCTATCCCTGCCCTCTGGCAGTGGGAGCCATTCCCTGTGTCCTGTCCCTCAGACTCTTGTAGTCTCCCTCCATCTGTGTGTAGCTCCTTGTGGCACTGGAAGGGACAATGAGGTCACCCCAAAGCTTCTGTTCCAGGCTGATCAATCCCAATTCTCCCAACCTTTCCCCACAGCAGAGCTGCTCCATCCTCTGGTCATCCTGGAGCTGCTCTGGGCTCATTCCAGCAGCTCCAGCTCCTTCCTCCACTTGTCCCTTGACACCTCCAAGGCTGGAGCCTGCACAGGCTCTGGGCAGTTTTTTCCTCTTTCTGCTTCCAGGGAAATCCTCTTTCCTTCCCCTCCAGCTGAGCCCCTCAGGTGACACCTGAATTTCCCTTCTCATCCCCACATCCTCCAGGCTCTCAGAGCAGCTGAGCCATGGGGAGGTGAAGCAGGAATTGCAGAATTCCACCTTGTGGGTCACATTAATTGGATGACACAGCATTAGTGCTTCACATCCTGGAAAAACGGGATCCAGAGGAGCACTAATCACTTCAAAATGAACTTAATGCACTTCCCAGCGATCTCAGCTAAATTTCCTATTTCAGCCCAAAAATCAGCCCAGCCTGGGATCCAAAGCACTGCCAGCATTCAGGAGCCTTTGAGATCCATTTTTCATCTTACAGTCCAGAGATAAGATGAGAAAATGTAAATTAATTAATGTGGGTAGGAAATAAAAAGGTGATGAAAATTGCTATTCTCAGCATTGAACCACCTGATTTTCTTACATTGTTGGTATCCTAAGGATTGATGCCTTATGCTCACTTTTTATTGCCACATTTGTTGATTTGAATAATTAATATTTAAGTATCTAACCTTTAGAAGTGAATTTCTTCTATGTGGGATCTGTGCTGCCTGATTAACTTTTATCCCCATATTTTAACCTGTTTGACCTCTTGTACTGAATTCCATTTTATAGATTTTAAATAATATATTTTCTGCTGGATAGTGAGCGTCCACCTTAAATTAATATAAAATAAAAACACAGCAGCATAAATCAACATTTTAAAGTAGCCAAATTAATGGTTGAGACAGCTTTGAGTGATTTTTTTTCTTCCTCTCCCAAGGAACTACAATAGTGGAGTGTGGATTTGTTTTCCTTCCAAGTCAGAAATTGGGATTTCAGCTCCTAGAAGTTTCCTTCCAGCAGCTGAAATTTCCTTGTAAAAGCTGTTGGAAGTTCGTGACCTTCCCGCCTGAAGGGAAGTCCAGCAGGAATCCCACAAGATGTTCCTTCCCAGAAATAATTACTGCTGAAATCCTGAGAATAACACACCAAATATTCCAGAGAAACCCCATTTTCTCCTGCAGATTCCTTCTCAAGGATTAACATTCACATGGGATGGGAAATTAAGCAGGAGCAGGAAGGGCAGGTCCAGGAAAAGATAATTACAGGATAAAACAGGCTGGGAAGCTTTCAGTCCACCTGGGTTTGGGCTTTTTCAGAATTGCTACAGTTTGTGCATTTCAATGCAATTCCTTCTTAACAGCAAGTTTTACTGCACTGTAAAAATTGCATATTTACTGCCATATACAGGATTTTTATTTAAATATTTCAGTGTTTAAATTGACTTTATCCTGGCTATACCCCTGATTAAACTTCTTTTCTGTCTTTAAAAATGTCCATGGGGCATCAGCATCAGACAGAAATCTGTGTTGTGTTTGTAGCAGATGATTTTGGAAGTGTTCTGTGACCTCATGATTATTGAAACTGCTGGATAAAACAAGGTGGTTGGGTGTTTTTATAATATAATCACAGTTTTGGTTTCTGTTTTAAATTCTGCCTGAACATGGCTACAAAGAATATTTTTTACTGACAGCTGTAAGGCTGTGGCTGCTCTGGTGCAGTGAGAGAAGCTGAGTGATTCCTGGCTCTGGAGTTCCAAGTTCCTGAACATACTGCAGAAATAAGTAGAATTTTGAGGAAAATGGAACATCCAAATGGGAATGTCTTTCTTTTCTTCCTGATTTTCAAAGCAGCTTCAGGTTTTGCTAATTTGTCTTTTTGATACTGTTTACTATTTGATCAATTTCCTGTTTACTTCCTCGTTTTTTCAAATAATGTGATTTTCCTTTTTCTTTTTTTAGAAGTATTTTTCTTTTTTATTTAAGAAATAGTTATTCTTCTCAATATAAAGACAAAATAATAAAAAAGAGATTTTTAATACTAACAAAAAAAATTACATTTAATATGCAAAATAACTGTATTCCCAGAAGGCTCTTCTTAGAATTTTTTCCTGACAGTATTGATATTTTGGATGCTAAAATCCCTTTAAAGCACAGCAGGGGTTTTTTGTCGCTTTCTCCATTGTCTCTGTTTTTTGTGCTCCATTATATCAATACTCTGAAATTCATCTTGAAGGGGAAGAATTTAATTCCATCAATTTCTGCCTCCTCACCTGTGCTCTACCTTGGGTAACTTAACCATTCCTTTAAGATGCTGTTTGAAAATAAAGATTTGAAACAGCTGTAAATATTTTTTTTAGTGTTACAATGTTCAAAATTGAATCAAAATCCAAAAACCCACACAGTCAATTAAAGGCAAAGTGAAGGATTTCTCTAAATATTGATTTATCCCATAAGGGCATTATTTATATATTAATGCCTTTATGGGATAAATTAATTCTATGTCTATAATTATTATAATAATATAATATTTATTTACTATTATAATAACATTTATTTATTATCATATAATTGTATCTAATATAATTCATTATGTAGAATATATAAAAATATATGCATACATGTAATATAATATCTATAAGTATATATATATTATATTTATATGGGATAAATTAATTTTAAATATGTTTATTTTTATATATTTTAAGTTTTTCCTATGTTAATTGGGAAAAAGAGCTCAAGACTAAGAACCTCCTGCTGACAGGTCCAGTGCCTTCCAAGAACCCAGGGATTTCTGGCACCTTGAGCAGTTTTAATTTCTGTTCCTAAAAGCTGTTTTGCCCTAAAGAGAACTCAGGTCACTCCCTGCAGCATTTTCCACGCAAACCCTTGGCAAAGGAGCACCTGGATTTAATCCCAGCCTGACTCAGGAGCTGCTGCCTTTTCCCAGAGGTGTTCAGAAGTTCCTCCAGGACATCCCAGGGCTGCTTTTATCTGTGAATTCCTGGTTTATCCCTTCTGGTTTATCCTGTCTCCATAATCCCCTTTGCTCCTGCCTCCCCTGCTTTGCTGCATCTCTGCTTTCTGATTTCTTGCCTGCAGCAGGAATTCTCCTAAACTGGCACAAAGCTGAGCTGGTGTTTGCTCAGAAATCCCCTGCAAACAGGGCCTGAGGCAATTATCCAAAGGGATTCCAGGTGGGAGTGGGGAGCTGGACGTGCCAAAGGCATTCCAGGTGGGAATGGGCAGCAGGATCTGTCAATTCCAGGTGGGAATGGGCAGCAGGATCTGTCAGTTCCAGGTGGGAGTGGGCAGCAGGATCTGTCAGTTCCAGGTGGGAATGGGCAGCAGGATCTGTCAATTCCAGGTGGGAGTGGGCAGCAGGATCTGGCACTTCCAGGTGGGAATGGGCAGCAGGAGCTGTCAATTCCAGGTGGGAGTGGGCAGCAGGATCTGTCAATTCCAGGTGGGAATGGGCAGCAGGATCTGTCAATTCCAGGTGGGAATGGGCAGCAGGAGCTGCCCTCTCTCAGCAGGAAAACTCTCCCAACTTGCTTTTCTGGATTTGGTTCACATTGAATGCAAGAATGGAAGCTGGAAGTTTCCTTAACTTGAAATCCACTGAGTAGAAATGAAGATTTACAAAAATTTCTTAATTGGGTTTTTTTCCTAGCTAATGAAACAAGGAGAATTCCCTGATGGAGTTGTGGTGTGTTGTACCTCCAGGCTGCTCTGAGGCAGGAATTGCACAGGAAAAGGGAGGCACAGGAGGCTTTGGGGGTTTCTGTGCTTCTGAACTTGGCTGAAAAGGAGGAACAAAGACACTCATTGGTTTCTGGCCCTGCACAAAACTCTGTTGTGGTCAGCTGTAAGGTGGAGCTGGAGGTTTCCATCCTTTTTTATTTATTTCTGTGCAGTGAAGAGAAAATTCATGAATAAATAGCTCCAGCTCTTCTGCCTAAAGCTGGCTGAGCAGAGAATTGAGGAGTGAGGGGGAAATCCTACACTGGTACCTTCATTTGAGTTTCTGTCTCCGCTGGAATTGGTATATTTGTGCATTTTCATTTGTGCTGCACTGCCTGATTTGCTGAAAGCCTGAGCCACGTTTGTTTTCACCTCCCCTGCAAACAGTCAGGTGGATTTTTTGGGGCTCCAGAGAGGGAGGACAATGAAGCTGCCAGGGTGAAACATTTCAGCCTCATGATGGCTTCACCTCATGCCCAGTGCCTGTTATTCCTTCAATGGATGTGCCAAAAAACCCCAAAACAACAAACCCAAACTGGGTAGGGATGTCAGTTTATAAAATCAGAATATTAAATGGTTTGGGTTGAGATGGATTTTAAAGCTCATCTCATTCCAGCCCCAGGGCAGGGACATTTCCACTGTCCTGGCTGCTCCAACCTGGCCTTGGGCACTTCCAGGGATCCAGGGACACCCACAGCTGCTCTGGGAATTCCATCCCAGCTCCTCCCACCCTCCCAGGGAACAATTCCTTCCCAATATCCCAACCATCCCTGATTTTACTCTAGAACTGTAGATGGGATCTGTATCTGGTTCTCTTTGCTTTACAAACCCTCTTTCCAGTGGCTTCCTAAGTCCAGCTGTTATTGCCATGAAAATAAATCTAAAGTAGGTACAGAAGTGTATAAAAGTAAAATTGAAGTTGACTTGTTGGTCAGAATATCAGAAATACCTCCAGCAATTTAAAAACAATTTAAAATTTAAAAACCTTGTAACACCTCCCACCCCACAGCTCTGTGCCCACAATCATCTCTTTCTGATTTACTCTTCCACAAATGTTGAATTTTATAACTTTAGTGGAGTCAAATTTCTGTTTTGTTGATTGGAACATAAAGGCCAATCTCTGAGCCTGCATTAGTGACTGAATCATTGCTTTCCCCCGGGGAAAAATGGAAATATTGGTGTTTTTAACCTACCTGTAGATAATACATGCACTGTTCCTGCATGTGTCACAATTGGCCGTGTCCTGGCCGGTCCGATAGGAAAGCCTGCAAAGACAAGAACATGGCATCAGTAAAAAAGTTATTTATTTTAACAAGTTTTGGCCTTCCATGACCATTTTCATAATGATCAGAATTTCGGGATTTTCTTTTTTTTACCTTGATCATTGAATGTAAAAATCCAGACATCAGGAAAATAGCATCAAAAATGGCACATTCAGCTTAAATTAAGAAGTTACATCTTTGGGGTGTGTTATTGTTTTCTCCACTTTCACTCTACCCAAACTCTGAGCAATAAGCAATAAATCAAAACACAAAATCCATTACATCAGGAGGAGTGTACAGACTATAATAATGCAAAATAAGATCTGGTTAGGAATTTTGTGCCTCTCAGTGAGGTCTGAAGATTTGTTGTAGGGATGTTTATGTGTTAAAAGGAAGAAAATGCCTTTGAAATGACATTTCCTGTGCTCCCTTAGCCTGCAGCTGTGCTTTGTCACACTCTGGTTTGAAGTCTCTTGCAGCAGTGACTTCTCAGTTACCTGCTGTCTCTGTGCTTGTCTCTGCCTTGGTCACTTTTAATTAAAAAGGGGTTTTAAAGATATGCAGGTATTTTTTAATACATAGAAATTTCTTTAAAAGAAATATATTTCATAAAAATAGAACACTTGCCTGTGAACATGAATATTCTGGCATGCAGATGAGTTTAAAATGAAAATTGTTAATTCAATATTTGTGCATTGGTACTTAGATTTTTCTTTGTAAAAGCACAAATTTAGACTCTTTTGAAGTTAATTTCAGTTTGTTACATACAAACAAGTGCTAGCAACCTTTCTTCAAAGTTGTTTTTAGAAGAAGTGGGGAAATAATTTTTCCAGGGAACTTTGGAGATGTGGAAAATAGATCCAAGTCAGGATTCCTTCAGGGAATGAGGTTCTGCTTCAAGCCCAGGCAGTTCAGCTGATTGACCTCCAATTATTTAGGGTTGCTTTGCTTAACCAGGGGCATCTCTGCTCCTTCCCTGCCCTTGCAGGGACAGAGCTCCTCTGCTGCCCTGATAATGAGCAAAAATAAAAAAAAAATCCAGCATTTGAAAATAAAAAAGGGTTAATTTGTACCTGACAAAATATCCAGCCTATGTAATATCAAGTGTTAATGCGAAATTCTGCACCAACTGTTTGATGTGCCTGTCCCCAGGATGGAAAATCAGCATTTCTGAGGTGCTGCAGGCTGTTTGTGTAGCTCAGAAAATGATCAGCTGGGCCTGTGTCACTTTTCTTTATGATTTTAAGGATTAGCAGTGGCTGGGGTGGTGGCACAGCCACAGGCTCTGGGGCTGTGGGTGCAGCTCCTGGCACTGTGGTGGCACCAACAGAAGTTCATGAGAAGGTGAATCTGCTTTGTTTAAGACTTTTTTTTTCCTTCTAAAAGCAAAATGCAGTGTAGAGTTCTTGCTGTTCTAGATGGTGGTTGTTGTTTGGTCTCAAAATTGCTTTTTAATCAGAGGAACATGCTCACATTACAAACATTGCTGATTTTTAACATCACACAAAAGCCACATCACAGAACCATGGAATGGTTTGGGTGGGAAGGGATTTGAAATTCAATCCAGAGCCACCCCTGCCATGGCAGGGACACCTTCCAGGGTCCCAGGTGCTCCAGCCCCAGTGTCCAGCCTGGCCTTGGGCACTGCCAGGGATCCAGGGGCAGCCACAGCTGCTCTGGGAATTCCATCCCAGCCCCTCCCCATTCTCCCAGGGAAAAATTCCTTCCCAATATCCCATCCAACCCTGTTGTCATTTTCCCAACCTGGAAAATGAACTTTGAGATAAATTTAGGGTAGGAGGTAATATAAAAATGGATTTTTATTGAAGGCTTTCAGGGACAGTTATGGAGAGATGTCTACAAAAGTCTGTCCTCAGTGTGGTGAGTACATTTTTATAAGTTTTAGGAAATTAACATAATTGATGAATGTGCTAATTAGGAGGACAGGGGGTGGTGCAATCTTTTCTAGGTTAAGTCCCTTTTCTGGAGTTAGGCACTAAGCTGTACTTTGTCCAGGAAATGTGTCTTGGAGAATCATTCTCAGCCTTGGTAGTTAGGAAGAACCAACCTAGGATAGGGGTCTTGCATTTCTCAGGGCTTGGAGTTCTGGAATTTGTGCTGGTTTTTGTCTAGGGAACAGTCATGGAGAGTTATTTGGTACATTAGGCATTAATAGAACAGGTTACAGAGCTCCAAATGTATGTGCAGAGAATACAGAGGACACAGAAAAGGAAAAAAGGCAAAACCAAAACAGCCTCAAACCTCCTTCAGGTGTGCAGAAGACTGCACACAAAGCAAAATGTCCATTTGGTGTGCTCTTCCTTATGGGAAAACCCCACTCCTGGTTTATATTTGCTCTTATCCTCTCTACGAGAAGCAATTCCTGATTTTCATTTCCCCTCTTCAAACCTTGCAGAAGCTGACATTCAAATTGTCCCTGCTATGAACCTGAGACTTGTAAAATGGGTTTTTTTCCAAGCTATTGATCAGCTCCTAAAAGCTCTAACTAAAGATACAACATTTAAAATCTAGAGATGAGTTGGGGAAGGCTTTTATTTACTGAGGACATAAAGGAGAGTCAATAGCTGCCTTCAGAGGGATGTGGCTCTGCTCTTTATAGGTAAAGCCATAAACACTCTGTGCTGGTGCCAGCTGGGTTTGGTTTTTTTGTTTAAAGTTGTTTTCCAGTTGGGACTTTTTCATTCATCTTTGTAGCCCTGCAAACAGCTGGAACTGGATGATCTTGAAGGTTTTCCCAACCCAAACAATTCTATGATTTGATGGTCTTTAAATGCATAATAATTCTAGATTTCCATATACTTAAAAGCATATTTGCTGGTATAAGGCTGGCTTGTTAAGCTGATGAAAATGAATACTTACATCCTTGGATGTAATTATTTAAAAATGAGATGATTTTTGGATGATGAGTTTGAAATCCTGATCTCTTAACTGCCACATTCAGCTCTGCTTGGTTTTAGCATCTTTGCAATTCTCAGTCTTCACTTGTTACAGTGATATATTTGTTTTCTAGTTGGATTTAATCCTTGATTAAATTTTCTTAAAGCAGTTTTTCCTTACTGAGTGTTTTTAGCTTTTCAGAGATGATTTTTGCATATTTTCTATTATTACCTTCTTTGAGTGATCCTGTTAGAATTCCCTGAAAGCCCCAAGAACACTCCATGGTGTCCCAGTGTTTGGTTTCCATCTGGCAGTTTCAGAGCTCTTTAGCCAGGACTGAATTATGTGAGTGTTAGAACAGTGTAAATTCAATTATTTCTATAAAAATTAAACTCCTCATGAAAGAATTTTGCTGTTGATAGGTACCTCAGGGCTCTGGACTTTCACTTTCTTGTTTTCACATAATTATCTACACAAACACTTGCATGGAATTCGTCTCCTTCATGCCAGCAAGGATTTCACTACTGGCAGAGCATTGCCATGCAGATTTTAGGCAATGAGGTTGATTTTCAGTGCAGACTTCCTGAAAAACAGAGTTTCCATCAGTTTTGACTCCTAGGAGTGATTTGAGAGCAGAGTTCTGGGTGATGATGCTTTCCTTGTGCCATGCAGTGTTTGAATAAGCTGCTTTTTTTCCTTCCTCCTAAAAATAATTTGGAAAGTATTCCATTGTAGGAGAGAGACCAAAAACTTTGTCCTTCATTACTAAACCAGTTGTTTTTTTTGGGTAAAAATAAATTCTTTCAAATGTCAAGTCTTTCACAAGGCAAACTTTCCTACAGAAAATCTGTCGCCTTTTTGGAGAAATGGAAGTTGGGTTTGGCCTGGTGTGGCTGCCAGGGGTTATTCCTGGAGTTTCAGCCTGTTTTGGATGTGATTGTTCTGATGTCCACTGAGGAAGGGCCCTTGCTCCAGAGCTTCATCCTCTGTTCCTTAGATCCTGTATTTTCTGTTTCCATCTGGATGTGCAGAGCTTGGGCAGGTCATGGAATCCCAGAATCCCAGACTGGTTTGGGTTGGAAAGGACCTTAAATCCCACAAAATTCCATGGGCAGGGACACCTCCCACTATCCCAGGGTCCTCCAAGCCCTGTCCAACCAGGCCTCAAAGGTTCTGGAGCAAGAATGGATGTGGGTGAGCTCAGTTTCTCTGTCTACATCTCTCCTTGGAAAGGAGATCTCATCTCCAGTTTTTCACACATTTTTCCGTATTATTTTCAAAAGACTTTCATTTTCTGGCAGGTTAATTTTATATTTTTTTTTAGCATTCTGGGTACAACCTGAGCTTAACCTCAATTAACACTGCCAAGTATTAAAATATCATAATGAAGAACAACCATTTTGCTGACATGGACTGGCAGGAACTAAGAATAGGCTGCAATTTTCAGAGCAGCCTAAGGGGATTTACTCTCTAAATCCCTGTGAAACACACAATTTGTGCACCTGCTGGAGGCTTTTTTAAAAAAAATACTAACTTAAACATCAAAATCTTTGCATTTGAATTTTCTTTGCTTGTATAAATAAAGAGACCCTATTCAGCTGGGAGAGGGAAGCTTAGATCTGTGTATGCTGATTTTTTTTTAAAATGGACATCTGTTAAAAACAAAGCAAAAACTCCTAAAAATTATTTAGAAGGATTGATCTTTTAGATCTGGAGTCCCTTAATGGCAAGATTTTCCAGAAGTGGCTGTGATGGCTACAGAGCAGGATGCTCCTGATGTTCCTCACACTTCTGATGGATTATCACCAACACGAAGGATGAACAGACTTCAAGAATTTTTTTTGTTGATGTTTGTTATTTAAATACAGTGAAACAAACGATCTTAGGCAGGCAGTGGGCCTTTGAAGTGTGTTTGAAGTGACAGTTCTGGCCTTGCTCAGAGGAAGTGCAGGCCCTGCTTCTCCTCAAGCCTTTGTATTAATTGGAGTTGTTTTATTATTTCCTAGAGCTGCTGAGACAACTCATTACACAGCTGGGTAAACCCTACTGATCCCAGAATCCCAGAGTGGTTTGGCTTGGAAAGGATCTTAAAACTCATCCAGTTC